CCGACAATCCTGCCGTGCACAATACCAGCCCATACTAGCACCTTGGGACTAGAAACGTATTTAATTTCTTTGATATATATTGTATATTGTATATTGTTATAACAAGCCACTGCTAAGACCCAATTAGTCGTTTGCTAGCAAATTGATGGCCGTTCAACCAGTTATCATCACCACAGTAGAACCCATGCATCGTTCAGTGATTCCACCCCTCCCCCCAACCACCCAACCACCCATTAACAAGTGGTGGTCCGACCTATGCACTTTGAGGTCAAACAAGTCACAAAAATGTTGGGGGGGGGGCATAAAAACATCACGGGGACTCGGATGCGCGCGCGCACAAACGAGGTATGAAATACGTGGGTTGAATTGATATTGGTCATCAATTTCTCGTGCTCTCATTCAGCTGTAAACGCACATTTATGTGATCATGTCCAGCGAAGAAATGAGTCATCTGAACATGGTGGTGGACAAGTGAGTTGCGTGATTTGGGTTTAGTTATGGGTTAAGATCACGACAATAGATCACAATCACAGTGACTCTTCCACACATCTCCATCTCCACTGGTATGGACAAATCGAGAACGGTCAAAATGACTTTGCTATTCATGTTATGCTATTACATGTTGCCGTATTGGAACTGTCTTCAATGTCCGGACCAAAACGACCAGTTGCGCCCTACCTGTAGCGCGCAGGGAATCACCCTGCATCAAACTTTGTGCTTGTCTTAGGTTAAATCGAGTTCGGTTTCACCTGTCTACAGAACTGACATCGGTCAGTGTGCTGGATGAGATGCAAGACTGCAGAGTGTCTCAGACAGAAAGAGTGTGAGAAGACAGATTGTTAATCACGGGTTAGAAAAACCGTGTTAGGTGCAGGTAGGCAGCGGTTCCGCCTACATTGGAGTAATGCTTAGTCGGAGTAGAAGAGATTATGGATGGACGTACAGCTTATTGGCGCATCTCACCGACACGGCGGGCATGAGCTTGAACAGTCAGACCGAATAAGGCTCAATCTCGTGTGGTTGCGCTTGCGTAAGTTCAAATCCAGGTCATCCAAGATGGAGATCCCATGAGCGTGATTTCCTACCTGAAAATCCTCTTACTTTATGGTAACAATGCATAGTAACGTGTGTGACACAAGGCGATAAGTTTGGTGAGAAAGGTTTTACACGGCTTAGAGTCACAGTTATTTTTCCCTTGGTTGAAACCTCCATGGAATAGTTCTGTTTAGTGAGTGTTGTAAGAAAATGGTGTCAACATTGGCTAAAGATCATACGATAACAGATGAAAGCCATTGTTGCAGGAAATATCAAACCGAGTGTTCCAAGCGATTGCCATTTATTCTTTAAGGTCTATAATGCTTCCCGATCACGGCCTTTTAGCATTGGTATCAATTGTTTCCTACTAAACCTCCTGGCAACCAGTTAGCACTTTTATCCGTTAAGTAATTCGTACATTCATAAGTATACAAAGGCGATGGGGAGGCACACTCAACGGGTATGATTCGTTATCTCCTCAATTGCTCACGACCTGGTATTGACTTGATTCTTTGGACCAGGATTTCCGTTAACATATATCAGACCTTGCAATATCTTAGCGCTTAATCCATACATGCTCGGTGATTAAGCACCACATCTGAAACGATCCCAATATTAGTCCAACATATAAAAAATAAAGACTTGAATTGTGCTACGTTATCTGTCAATACAAACCTGAATGCATTTATTTTACTTTCTTTGGTTCTATGCATTTAGTTGCCACATTCAATTATACAACATGAACTACTGAGATCAAAGATTGACGTTTTTGTTGAGGCAACAATGTGAAGCATTTTTACATCAAATCAACGTTTTCCAAATCGTAATCCGATCTACTTATCACTTTCTTCTGTGTGTATGTATACATGTGTTTCAGTGAATACTATCGCGGAATTTGTGGTTTTCCAATGTGTCCTTGAAGATACCACACTATTTCTGCGGTACATACTCGAACGACTGACTCGAACAAAACACAAGGACGAGCTGATTTTTGTTTTACGGAAAATGATTCAGCGTCTACCGGAATTGCCCATGCAGGCAGCTCATGCAATTTTCAATAATCTGGTAAGGTTTCTTCCTGATCATTGACATTGGAGGATTCACACACTCTCTCTTCTTGTCATATCGAGAGTAGTTTTATCTCCACAGTAATTAAATTTTCAGTATTGCCCCCGTTCCCATTATTATAATCATTCAATAAAATTAAACGGTTTTGATATGATGCAATCACAGTAAGCCGAAAAAAACAACACGTACGACGAAACTAGATTCATCAACAAAGTACGTAAGCCTAATAATCGATCAATTCATCAATCATGATATCTAGTCAATAAAGAATGAAATATTAGGTAAAGTAGAAAGGCGGTCGGTTGCAGTTCTCGCATACAACAAACTTGTGTAGAGTTCTGTGACATGAAGTACCAGTCTGTCGACTGTGTACAATAATCAGGATGAAACAATTCGGAGTCACCAAGATTCTCTTCGCTCATTAGTGCACATATAACAGTGAACAGAACACAATTCATTGGGTGAGCTGTGTCAGTTAATAGCGTCAGAGATTATAGTTCTTTCAAGACGAAAAATCGTTTTGACAATGAAATCCACTAACTCCAACCTGCAGAGTCCGCTAACATTTCACCGTATACTTCGACATCGGTATGAACTACCGAAGTGTTGGATTCTTAAACTAGCAAAGATTGTAGTGAGGCGACTGGATTGAATATGAATAAACGAAAAGGGAAATGGGCATCAAGTCAAGTTGTAAAATTTTCACTCTCGACCAAAACCAATTGTCTTAACTTATTCAAACAATTGATAGATGCACGAAGTAAATAACAACTTGGTATAATGTTGCCCCAAAGTACATTAGGGACTAGACAGAAGAGATTGTTCGGATACCGGTGTGTAAATGGAAGTGGCGACACTCCAGTAAATGGAAATGAGCTCATATGCAATGATGAATAAAAACATCGTATTTATATGAGTTGAGAGACAACGTTGAGCTGGACTATCTTTAGAAAATTGAGGATATCGAACATTGGAGACATGAACAATGAAAACTCTCATCTGAATAGCCTGAAACGAAAACAGTACAGAATCAGCTGTTCCATGAGTGGATACTGCGTCGACATCATGCGGAATTTGGGCAGTAACTCGGATTTAACTGTGTCAGTTCGAAATTAGGAATGGGGAAATTTCATGAAAAACTTGGTCGATTATCACTTGAGCGATATATATATATATATATATATATATATATATGAATAATGAAGGAGAAAATTGCTTTTAGAAAAAATGAACTCGCATCATAGATTTCTAGGATTAGTTTTATCTTAAGGACGGACTTGGGATTCATAATGATCACAGTCGTTTTTCATAGTTAGTGTCATTGCATTAGTCGGCTTAGACACGGGATCACGGGAATCACAGTCTCAAGTGAAGCGTGGAATTGAAAGGGAAATTTCCCTTCACCAAGACACCGAGAAAGAACCACAGAAGTAGCGGTCCCCTTGATAAGAGAAAACAGCGAGAATAAATAAGAAGTAAATATAAGTCTCATTGATCAGACGGTCATTATCCAACGCAGTCCTTGTTCTTCGGGTGTTTGAACTGCACGGCCTTTGACTGATCTATATTGTTGGCCCTTGGCCCAATGTCCAGAAACTGGAAAGCGTGGCGTTTGGCTGGCGTCACCTCGGCGAGTTGACTCAGCACATCTACCTACATACGCACTGATGCACCAGAGAGAGACCCAAGTCGTTATCGTCATTTTCATTTGCCGCAGCTACAGTAATTAATAAAAAATGCCAGATCTCCATAATAGATTAATTGGTATCTACAAACCGACGATGATAAAATTGGTATTTCGACTTGGACAAAGTAGCAAATACAGCGAATGGTATAGTTTAGGCTTAGGTACAATAGACTGGTGCAGTACATTTGAAGGCAGGAAACGATTTATTATTTCTCTCTAGGGTGATAATCCGTTTTAGACTAAACGTAACCGAAAAACTTAGCGGTTAAGTGTAATTACATCGCTGGCTTCTTAACATGATTGTGTGAACGTTATCCCCTCCCCCAGGACTAACGAAATCTCTTCACGAGCGAACAAACTTAGTCTCCATCGTCCATGTTCATCCCAGGGGCACACTGTGCTGTTTATATACGTTCATTTTAACTCTAGCATTTGATTTCTTGAGACTCATTGTTTTTTGTATTCTAGGTTGGCTATATCATGTTCCATGTGCGCACACCCAGTTTTGAAGCCCACGAGTCGATCGCCAGTGCACTTTCTGTTGTGCATTTGGTAAGTGAAAATCACGATTGGTTTATTCATGCCCGGTAAGATTCGTTTTTCTTTTTCGAACTTATCGTAATGCTCAATTAGGTTAAACTTTGGAAAATCAGTTGTTCCAGTCGTTGAACCGAACTCAGTATCTGGAATTCTATGACAAACCCATTGAAACATTAGAACACAAGTCTGAAGAAGAGCAGTTGTTTCAGTGATTCATAATCCTGTCTAGATAGTTCTTATGAGTCTTTTGTCAGCGTAGACACATCCTCGCACTTGATGGCAAGGACGTGCGTAATGGGGAAAGGAGAAACTTGAGTCATGTATCAGATATCTACGAGTCTGCGTTTGGGTGAAATCGATTGCGATTAATGTATTAGTGATGGTGGTGATCATTTTGGGGCCAGGGTAAATGGATAACTTAAATCAGTCGCTTTATGCGCCTAATCGGGGTGTGAAAAAGTGGAAGCCTATCGCCTCTCTGTGAACGTAGTACCTTAGAGAGGCACACGACAAATATCCAAACACGCTTATTCTGGTTTAACTTGGTTACCTGTATCCAGCAGATAAACAA